ACCCCAGAGATGGCCCCTGGGTATCCAGCTTCTGTCTTAGCACAGGTCGACCTCACATGCACTGGCTGGTCAGCTTACTTCTAGACCTTTCTCCCTCCTGTCTGCCTTTCCCCAAGCAGAAGTCCAGTGTGAAAGCAGGAGCCCTTTTCTCGGCTGGGACACCACCAGGGAACAGCCGTGGCCACAGGTGGATTCACATTGACCTTCCCAGCGGCCAAGCTGTTCTTCAATAGGAAACTGCTAAAGAGAGACACGTGGCAGATGTAACAGCAATGCCAGCTAACATTTTCTGGTCCTTGCTTCTAGGGTGATGAGTGCTGTATGGTTGGGTCTGAGCCCCACAAGGAAGGGGCTGGCAGGATCCGTATCTGCAGGTGAAGCAGCTGAGAGCGGAGTCAGTTATTTGGCCAAAGTCCAAGAGCCAGCCAGGCTCTAAAGCCAGGTCTGCCTGACGGCCTGTGTGCCCATCTAACCCCACACTGCCCTGCAGAGAAGGCAGGAGCAGCGTGATCTTGGGTGCTGGAGTGGGCAGTCAGGTGGGACTCACAGGCAGGGTCATTTCTGGCTCCTCCACAGTTTCTCTGCCGAGACCTACATGTTCCCTCCCCTCCCTTACACAGAGGTTTGGAGGGGCTGCTGAAACGCCCCCCTGCAGCCAGCGGCACCAGTGTGCAGTGCCGACCCTCCATCCTCCTCCCCCAGCTGGTGAACCGGCACGTGTACTCAGGCAGCGCCGACAGGACGGTCAAGTGCTGGCTAGCAGACACCGGGGAGCGCGTGCGCACCTTCGCGGCCCACGGACACAGCGTGAGCGCCCTCAAGTACCACGCGGGTACCTGTAAGTGACCCCGCCTCCTGCCTCATAACCCCGCCCTCCGACCCCCCTCTCAGTCCTCACTCCCCAGCATGTCCGCTTTTGTTCAGAGCCTGTTTCTTACTCTATTCATCCCTCAGTGACCTCAGCTGCCATTCAAGATGGTCAGCGCCCATTCCTCCTTCGTGCACAAACGTTTGTTCCTCCAGCGTTATTTACAAAAAAGATCCAAATGAGGGTGTGGGGACTCCTCCCCACCTTTACCCCACTAGGATGTGCAGAGACCTGCATGTCCAGAAGCCTGAGGGGCAAGAGCACATCTCAAGGACACATTCAAGTTCTCAAGTTAAACAGTGACACTAAACCCAGACTTGAGGGCCATGTGGGTTTGGCATCACTTGGCAGTAGGTTTGCATACATATAAGAGAAAACCCAGATAACAGGGGTTTAAATGAGATGTTGTTTATTTTTCTCTCAGGTAGAAGAAATTCAGAGGCTGGCAGTCTAGGCTGGAATGGATTGCTCCACAAAGTTGACAGGCACCCAGATTTCTTTATTTACTTTGCTTCATCATCCTTAGTACAAATCTCCTATCTTTAAGGTGGCCTCATGGTTTAAGATAGCTGCTGGAGCTCCAACCATCATGTCATGTTTCAGGCAGGCAGGAAGAAGAGGAAGGGAGGGCAAAAGATTCTGTCTCCTAGTTGGTAGGCCCCTTTAAAGATTGGGATGTCCAGCAGCTACACTGCGTTGCTGGAGGGGAATGCAGGAGAGGAGCTGAAGAGCTCCGGAAAGGAAACTTCCTCTCCAGGGCCACATTCACTAGTAGCTTTAGCAGAAAGCCTGGGAATAGGCAGGTGACACAGGAATTGGGTAAAGAATAGACCCCAAAGACCAGGAGGCCCCAAGGGTGTGCTTACTGTGGCTCACTCTGGCTGCTGCATGGCTGCAGTGGATGCTGTGGGTACCAAGCACAAGGGCACTTCTTCCTGCAGGTCCTCTGCCCAAGGGTGTTTTCCTGTGAGGCAGGTCAGAGGAGGGCTAGGAGATGATGGATAAGTAGCCCAGCATCCTTGTTTCCTGCCACCTGGCAGGGACAACTCAGACATGGTCTGTACCTTCTCCCAAGGGCCCTCAGCAGTCAGTCACCTGCTGGCTAACACACCTGTATGGGAGTCCTTCCTTCCTGTTTCCCTCCCCACTTCCGAGAAAGCCCTGCCAGAAGAATTGTTTGCACTCAAATTCTAGTGTCAGGGTCGGCTTCCAGGAGAACCCAGGCTAAGACAATAAGTCAACAAGGGAGCTCCTCTGGCCAGTGTTCTCAGTGTATTCCTGACCATGAGCATCAGCATCACTTGGAACTGGCTGGACATGTAGTTTTCTGGTTCCACCCCAGACCTCCTTAAATCAGAAACTCAGGCAGGCCCAGCCATCTGTGTCTTTAAAAGCGCCCCACCCCGTGATTCTGATGCCTACTGCAGTTTGAGAACTCTTGGATTGTTATAATGTAGGAAAAAGCCTAAGGGAGGCAGAATTTGGGGGCTTCCCCCGGGATAGGTTGGGTGGGGGCACGCTAGTCAACCCCAGAGGGTCAGGAGCAGGGTCAAGCTCATTACTGAAGACAGGGAGTGAGTTTTCTGGTTGGTCTTTGCCCCAAAAGGCCACTCAGATGGCAGAAGGGTGGGGTGGTGACCCCTGGAGTCAGGGGCTTCAGAGCTGCTGGAAACATCCAGCAGAGAAGCCAAGCTTCACCAAAGGCTTCCACCAAATGGCCTGAGAGTGGGAACCTGGGCCCAGATGGTATTCAGGAAGAACACCTGGAAGGGCAGGGCGGGCTGACCTGAAGCCCAAGGTGGGTGGGGCAGCCGCAGTCCGGCAAAGTGGGATGCAGACCTCAGAAGGCCTGGCCGCCGGCCCCCAATCATCACCCTGAACACCCAGGAACGTACAAGATAATCAAAGTGCCGCCTCCTTCCTTCCAAGGGGCTTCTGCTCTTCTCCATTTGCCTTACGACATCCCTGTGAGACGGGCCAACAGGTCCCGGAGAGGGCTCCCAAAACTCACCCTGCCCTGCCAGCCTATGCCCCACGCCCCGCAGCTTCCCGGGCAAGGCCGAGGGCTCTCGGGGCGGGAGGCCCAGTGGCGCCATGTGTTCACAGTGTTCACGGGCAGCGGGGACGCCCGCGCGCGCGCCTTCGACGCCCAGTCCGGAGCGCTGCGGAGGGTGTTCCGCGGCCACGCCTTCATCATCAACTGCATCCAGGTAGGCGCTCCCGCCCTCTCCCGGGCCCCGTGTCTGTTTACCGGAGCGAGGGCCAGCCCTCCTGCGTCCGCCTCGGAGGGGAAGTGGGAGGCACGCGGCAGCGCCTACCCCGGGGCCGAGAACCCCTGGGCTGAGACTTCCCCATCCGTCGGCCCCGGCAGTCGCAGTTCACGCCGATGCTCGGGCCGGCGCCGGCCGGAGGCAGAGCGGGGCCCGTGCTGGGGTGGGGGGACGGCGGGGCGCGCCCTCCAGCGCCCGCCCCACGCCCCGCGCCCGCAGGTGCACGGCCAGGTGCTCTACACCGCCTCGCACGATGGCGCCCTGCGCCTCTGGGACGTGCGCGGCCTCCCGCGCGCCCCGCCGCCGCGCCCCGGCGCCCCCAAGCGCAGCCTCTCGCGCCTCTTCAACAACAAGGTGGGCTGCGCCGCCGCCGCGCCCCTGCAGCCGGCCTGAGACCGACCGGCCCGCCACCCCACCGCCCCGCGGAGGGAGCGCGGCCCGCTGGCACCGAGGGGACGAGGGCGGCGGGTGCCGCCTTTCCTCCACGTCGGGGGACTTCCGAAGCCCGGAGGGAAGGCTGTGCTCATCCCCGGCCGCCTCCTTCTCTGCCCGCCCCGCCCCCAGCCAGAGCCCCTGGGGAGCCCAGCCCTCAGCCTGCCTCCCCGCCCACCCGGGACCTTCCCGGGGTCTCCAGCCCCTCGGCCCGGGGCGCCTGACGCCCCCAGAAGCCCGGCCTTTCCTGCTGAGCGAAACGGACGCTTCGAAAAGCCGCTGAGCCACAGATTGTTGTTTTGGCAAATTGTACGCTTGTGAAGAACCGAAATACAGGTCCTTAAAAGTGCTCGGCAACATGTCATCTTTTGTTCTGCGAACTGAGTCTCAGGCTCCTCTCAGAGGGAGGAGGGGTGCCGGGAACCCGGGGCCTCACTCTCCGCCGGGGCCTGCCCTCCTGGGGGTGAAATGAGAGGCTGCAGCCTCATGGCCGCTCCAGTGTCACTCGAGTGTGGGGAGTGGCATGAAAGAGGCCAGTGAGCAAGGAACCGGCTCCTCAGCCTGCCTGGGTGACAGCGGGGATCCGTCACCCGTGCTAGGGCGCGATCTTGCACAGATCGCGGAGAGCCTCCTCTCTCAGGGCTAGAGTAGAAAGGCCCCCGGCACCCAAGCCAGCTCTGCGCCGACGCGATGGCCTGAGAGGTGTACACAGAAGGGCAGCTGGAGCACCTGCCGGCAGGGGGGTGGACGGGGGAAGTGGGGCTCGGGCTCTGGATAGGCCTTGAGCAGAGGAGCCCCCAGCAGCCTCTCACCACCGGAAGGGGTGCTCTGCCAGCCCCTTGGTTGGTGCCCTCTTTCTGCATCCGCCGTGCCCTCCCTGCCAGGCCCCAGCTGGCCCCTGGTGCAGAAAGAAGAAAAGCTGCAGAAGACGGTGTCCACCCTGAGAGCCCAGCATCTGGCCGAGGACGAGTCTTGCCGGACAGAGGCAGCCCCTGATGGAGAGAAGTGGGTGCTCCACGGTCTTCACGCTAAAGGTGTTTCATCAGCAAGACGTGCTGCAGGACAGGCTTCACCTGCTCCCCGAGTGCCCAGGTCCATGCCTGATGGGTGGATTCCTGCCCCTCGGGCCAGATAAACAGGTAAGTATTGACACCTGGGGCGTAGAAAGAGTTGCAGACCTTTGTGATGTGCTCTTGGCCACCCCTCAAACCCTGAGAACCCAGGGGCCTCCCCAGGAAAACAGGCTGGTGGGAAGAACCTGCAGGAGCAGCATCACCCAGTACAGGTGCGGGGTTCCACGTGTGCTGCCTGCCCTGGGCCCGCCCCCAGGGGGCTTTCCAGAAAGCTGAAGTTCACTTCAGGGAGGGCAGGCAGAGAGAACCACCCGGAGTCCCGGCCCTGATATTTAGTCACCTTCTGGGACTGCTTTGCTGACAGAGGCAGCTTGGGGAGCCAGATGCCCGATGGTTGATGCTGACAGCTGATGCTGCATTCCTGCCTCCACAGCTCTTGCTCATTCATCACCTTACAATCACGTCCATCTTCTCTCAAGTGGAGAATAAAAACCCAAAGCTACCACTGGATGCAGATCCTAGAACTGGCTGTTGCATTGGTTTTCTCCAGCCTGCCTCTCCCAGAGTAAGTAAGAAATGAAAAACCACTATTTTGCATTTATATAGCACAATATATTTGGGTAATTTTTATTTCAGCCACATAGAGGGCTTTGCTTGATGTTGAGGACGATATAAAGGCCAGATAACCACAAGGTGTTTATTTGCCTTTGATAATATTATATTCTTGCCCCTGATAAATACTTTCAGTTAGCTAGGGGAAGGACAGGAAGTACTTACAGGACATATGGGCAGGGAAACAGGGACAGGACCTGGCAGTTACCAGGAGCAAGAGCAGACAGAATTTCACAAGAAAGTGATGGACATCCGATCTGATCAAGTGCAGCCCGTTCTGGCCACAGCCTCCCACAGTCTCTGGTTGACCCCACCTGCCTCACAGGCACTGCCTCCGCTCCCGCTTGGAGCTCTCCGATGGCCTGGAATTCTGCCCCTCGTGTCTAGACCCCCTGCCTGAACTTCAGGGTGCTCTGTAATTGGACTCGGCAGTCCTTCCAATCTCTTCCACCCACACACACCCTTTGGTGGGTCTAGAACATCCCCTGTGACCCCATCAACATGGCACACTCAGCCTGTCCTACGCCCATTGGTTATCTCATTTGTCCCAGGTCTGGAATGTTCTTTCTCCTCTGACTCTCCAAGGAGAACCCCGTGGACAGGGGCCCATCTCATCTGTGACTTCCAGGCTCAATACACTCTCTCCTGTTTATTTTTTGGGGGGAAGGTAATTAGGTATTTATTTATTTAATGGCTGTACTGGGGATTGAACCCAGGACTCCATGCACGCTAAGCATGAGCTCTGCCACTCAGCTATACCCTCCCCTCCCCCTGTCTACTATAAACAGCATTTTCATCACAAATGTCCTTTGCTCCTTGTCTTCCATTTCAGAGCAGGGAGTAACACTTCCCGTCAAGCCAGGACCAGAGCCCGTCTCCCAACTCATGGAGACGGGCAGCCCTGCTTGTGAGGAGTGTACACCCAGCACTGTCCCTAACTGAACTGGCGTCTTTGTATCTTCTTCACAAGAAAATGGAGCAAAGACCTGCTAGTGTGGCTTTGCTTCCCTGGCCTTTTCCATGGTATTTAAGAAGCAATTTGAGAAGCTAGAAGCCACACCTGGCCCAAGCCCAGGACACTAGCTTGTTAGCCAAAAACTGCAACCGAGGCCTCAAATCTGAGTCTGACATGGTCTCAAATGAGGCTGAGAGACCCCTCATCACCTCAGGCATCAGCCATTTCCAACGCTGGGAAAGCAAGCCCTGCGTCTCCCCATCACTTAGTCTTACTGCCCCCGCTCCAGCCCCTTCCTGGCTGAGAGCCTTTGTACATTTCCTTTTGTTTTTTTAAATTTGTGGTGTCTCATATCTGATGTGATTCCTCTCAGTGTTTTTTTTTAATTGAAGTATAGTCATTTACAATGTTGTGTTAATTTCTGGGTACAGCATAGTGATTCAGTTATACATATATATATTTCTTTTCATATTCTTTTTCATTATAGATTATTACAAGATGTTGAATATAGTTCCCTGTGCTATACAGTAGGACCTTGTTTATTTTATATATAGTACTTAGCATCTACAAATCCCAAACTTAAATCCCAATAAATCCCAATTTATTCCTCTCCACTCCCTTTTTACCCTGATAACCATGTTTGTTTTCAATGTCTGAGTCTGTCTCTGTTCTGTAAATAAGTTCATGTTTTTTTTTTAGGTTCCACATATAAGTGATATCATACAGTATTTTTCTTTCTTTATGGTTTACTTCACCAGAATGATGATGAGCATAGTATGATGATCTTCAGGTCCATCCCTGTTGCTGCAAATGGCATTACTTTATTCTTTTTATGGCTGAGTATTATTCCATTGTGTATTCCAACTTCACTTCTTTATATCCAGTCATCTGTCAATGGACATTTAGGTTTTTTCCATGTCTCAGCTATTGTAAATAGTGCTGCTATGAACATTGGGGTGCATGTATCTTTTCAAATTAGAGTTTCCTCCAGATATATGCCCAGAAGGGGGATTGCTGGAAAGTCCATTTTTAGCTTTTTAGGGAATCTCCATACTGTTTTCTATAACGGCTGCACCAAATTACACTCCCACCAACAGTGTAGGAGGGTTCCCTTTTCTCCACACCCTCTGCAGCATTTATAATTTGTGGACTTTTTAATGATGGCTATTCTGACCCATGTGAGGTGATTCCTCATTGTAGTATTGATTTGCATTTCTTGGATTAATTAGTGATATTGGGCATTTTTTCATGTGCCTATTGGCCATTTGTATGTCTTCATTGGAGAAATTTTTTTTAGGTCTTCTGCCCATTTTTTGATTGGATTGTTTTTTGTTATTGACTTGTATGAGCTGTTTGTATATTCTGGAAATTAAGCCCTTGTCAGTCACATGGTTTGCAGATACGTTTCCCAGTCCGTAGGTTGTATTTTCATTTTACTTATGCTTTCCTTTGCTGTGCAAAAACTCCTAAGTTTAATTAGATCCCATTTCTTTACTTTTGCTTTTATTTCTATTGCCTGCGTAGACTGCCCTAGGGGAACATTGCTGAGATTTGTGTTGGGAATGTTTTGCCTATGTTCTGTTCTAGGAGGTTTATGTGTCTTATGTTTAAGTCTTTAAGCCATTTTGAGTTTATTTTTGTGTCTGGTGTGAGGGAGTGTTCTAACTTCATTGATTTACTTGCAGATATCCAGCTTTCCCTACACCATTTGTTGAAGAGACTGTCTTTTTTCCATATTCTTGCCTCCCTTGTCAAAGATCAATTGATTGGGTTTATTTCTGGTCTCTCTATTCTGATCCGTATGTCTGTTTTTGTGCCCAAATCACACTGTTTTGATTACTGTAGCTTTGATTACTGAAGTCTGGGAGGGTTATTTCTCTACCTTCATTCTTTTTCTTCAGTATTGCTTTGGCAATTCTGGATCTTTTGTGATTCCATATCAATTTTAAGATTATTTGTTCTAGTTCTGTGAAAACTGTCTTGGGTAATTTGATAGAGATCACATTAAATCTGTAGATTGCCTTGGGCAATATGACCATTTTAATACTGATTCTTCCAATCCAAGAGCATGGGCTATCTTTTCATTTCTTTGAAGTCATCTTTAATTTCCTTAATCAAGGTTTTGTAGGTTTCCATATATAAGTCTTTCACTTCCTTGGTCAGAGTTATTCCTAAGTACCTTATTGTTTTGGATATGATTTTTAAAGGGTTTCTTTACTTTCTTTTCCTGCTATTTCATTGTTAAAGAAATGCAACTTATTTCTGTATGTTAATCTTGTATCCTACAACCTTGCCAAATTCTTTTATCAGCTCTAGTTTTGTGTGGAGTCTTTAGGGTTTTCTATATATAGCATCATGTCATCGCATTTAGTGACAATTCTGCCTCTTCTCTTCCAATCTGGGTCCTTTTTAGTTCTTGTCTAATTACTGTGGCTAGGACTTCCAATACTATATTGACTAGAAGTGGTGAGAATGGGCATCCTTGTCTCATTCCGGATTTTAGCGGGAAGGCTTTCAACGTTTCACCATGGAGTACTATGCTGGCTGTACGTGTGTCATAAACAGCCTTTATTATGTTGAGAAATGTCTCCTCTATACCCACTTTGCTAGGAGTTTTTATCATAAATGGGTGTTGAATTTTATCAGATGCTTTTTCTGCCTCTATTGAGACGACCAGGTGGTTTTTGCACTTCCTCTCATTGATGTGGTGAATCATGGGAATGCAACTGGCTTAATAACAGACCTCGATGTTCCTTTTGAGGGCACGCATTTGACTTCCTCGCAGAAGTCAACGGAAGCAAACGTCTCAAAGCTCTACCACCC